GTACACGTAGTGTTAACTCACGATTTCTGAAAAGGAGCTGCAGAAATGTCAATTCTGGTCGGATTAACTCGACATTTGCATCGGCAGAGTCTCTGGTCTCTTTTCTCATCAGAATGTAGCTCTGAGATCAAATCCGGACACAATACGTCCAACACCAGCCAAATCTTTCAGCAGCCCATCTCCGGCATGTCCTAGTACGCCGCCATCATGAAGTAAAAGGGACGACTCCCTAAGATAACGCAGAATATTTTCCCGCGCTCACAATACCCATCAAATTACATTAGCATCTAGTAAAACAGAACAAATCAAGACCGCGCTAGGCAGTCATAGAAAGGGAAAATCCCCAGATATATGCCAATGCATGTATCAATTGGGTATCGCCTTCTAGGCACAATTCCTAACACATGGTATTATGATTTCGTAAGATCTATAAATATCCCACACAAAGTGTAATCTCTGGTACATGTTCTGACACGGCTGCTTTCAATCCAACTAGCTAAATCACACAAAATAAGATCACCAAATCCTACAGTAAATTCGACATGGTTACACATACAATTACATTTTTGACACAACAACCAAGATCATGGCCCTAGCAACCAGTTCAAACACCATATATTTGCATAATGATTTGACCAACATAGGTCATACTCAGAACAAACTTTAATTTCGTCATCAACTTTTGTGACATCCATGGCAACAGTAACATCACCATAGTGACTGTCAAGGAAACTGCATTTTGGTGATGCAACATAGTAGGCAATAATAATTAAACTCAATTTTTGCAACATGTTGCATTTAGAACTGCTAGAATTTTAGCAGTTATATTTTATAGCGTAGTATAGCGTAGTATAGCGTAGTATAGCGTAACTTCTGTTAACAATAGGACATTTGTCATATTCATCCCATATATGCTTGATTTTGGCAATATTGGTTTTGTTCATGATTGCATCTAAATAATTAATGCATATAAAATAAACAGTATCCATCTTTACTATCCTATCCTTGAGGCGGATATCTGGGTATTTTCATCGCCTGGCAAACATCACAGTGAAAACAAAGGCCAAAACGTCTCAGAAAACTACTTTCTCTTAGTTTTTGAGATTCTTCTAAACAGAATAACAAGATTATCCCTATATGTACAATATATATAAATTTGGTTTCTCAGGATTACTTCAAAACTGAGTTTGTGCTGTTTCCTTGACTTTAGCTGTTTTCACCGGCTCTGCGACCGGTATTCCACAGCATCTCGTGCAGAGCCCATAGAAATACATGGTACAGTGGTGCACGTCTTAGCAACATAGAACGTTCTGTGATGTAGCTTTACCGCTGGGGATAGCCCTGTTCACACATGATGTGCTTTGTCATACAATCTTTGCTGCATACAAAATCCTGCTATAAACGAAGTGCGTCTGTGATATTAAAATGACTTAGGTACGCATAAGCAATGTCAATCAAATCGACCGCTCTGTTTGGTTTTGTAGTCATTCAGAATATAACAAATCTCTCATCAATGCTAATTTCTTTTTTGACTTCCATGGGAGTCTTTGCAGTTACCCTGTCTGTATGTGTGTCTGTCTGTTCCACTGATATCTCAAGAACCATACATCGGTTTTTGATGAAACTTGGTGCATAGATGCTCTGGGCCAATGCGCAGATTTGATTAGGTTTTTGTAGAAATCTGTGCATAATAATTACCTATTTTGCATAATGATTAGTAATTTTTGGCTTTTCCACTGATATCTCAACTACTAATCATCACATTTCAATGAAACTTGGTACCTAGATGTCATAGGACACTGCACAGACCTAGTAGATTTTAGGGTAATATCAGTACATATTAATTACCTAATTTGCATAATAAATTAATTTTCAGCTTTTGATATTTCAGGTAGTAAGCATTACATTACAATGAAACATGGTACATAGATACTCAAGGACTATGCAGAGATTGATTGTTTTGGAATAAATATTTGTGCATATTAGTCACCTAATTTGCATAATTAGTTAATTTTCGAATTTCCTTATTTCCCGTATCTCAAGTACTAATCATCACATTTCAATGAAACTTGGTACATAGATCCTCTAGGACTAGGACTAGTTTGGGGGTAAATAATTGTGCATATTATTTAACTTATTTGCATAATTATTCAATTTTCAGCTTTTTCACTGATATCTCGAGTACTAATCATCATCTTTAAATGAAACTTTGTACATAGATGCTCTAGGGCAATGTACAAATATGATCGGTTTTGGGTTAAAATCTGTTCATATAAATTCTCTAATTAGCATAATAATTCATAATTGTTTGGTTCTGATCGCATTTCAATGAAACTTGGTACATAGATGGTCTGTTACATTGCGCAGACCTTATTAGTTTTACACTCTGTTCATTTTAATTTTCTGATTGGCATAATTAGTTTTCAGCTTTTCCATCAATATCTCAAGTACAAGTAATTTTGAATTAATTTTTACTGTGTCTTTAATACTCTCAGCACACGGGAGTTCTTTCTAAGCTCTCTTTGATTTCAAAACAGTCAACGCTGTGAATGGTGTTCCTTGCAGTCATAGAAATGCTTCGTCTATAGAGAGCGGTAGTTAACAGAAGCACTTTATCTCTAGAGGGCGCTAGTTAACAGATGCACTCCATCTCTAGAGGGTGCTAGTTAACAGAAGCACTGTTTCTAGAGGGCGCTAGTTAACAGAAGCACTTCATCTCTAGAGGGCGCTAGTTAACAGATGCACTTCATCTCTAGGGCTGAGTTTGATTGTAACGCGAGTCCCTACGCGCTTAGCGAGGGTTGCACTCGAACGACCGGGGTTGCGACGCGAATGACGTCAAATGATGTCATTTGACCTTTAAACTCTACTCGGGCTTCTCCAGCTAATGTACCAAGGCTGCTCGAGTTGTAACTCTACAAAATGTCTGCTAAACAAAAGTGAGTATGGCGAAGTTTTTGTTTATGTTTTGTATTTATCAAGAGTTTGAAGTATTATACTTAATATGAATGTGTTGGAAATATGTTTGATTATGAATATTTGTCAACTGTTGTAAATTTGTGCACCAACAATTGTGCAGACTATATAATTTTGCGTATTTATTGGTCAATTCATTTATATTTTATTGGCAAATTACAATTACTATACTAATATTAGTCTTGTTCAGCAAACTGTACATGCATGATTTGAACTTGAGTTGAAAGTACGCACAATTTAGTTAAAACTGGTTAAAGGCAGCAACTAATAATGATAGTTGTCAACGACCAACATTACATCTTGAACTCGTTTGGCAACAATTCAAGGTCGTTGATGCCAAAATTTTGATCCTAAGTAAATGCACAATGTCCCGTGTTGAAAATGTTGGCAATATTTCGCACAATACCATGCACTGTTGACTTCGAAATGTCGAAGGTATTGCTTTCTTCTCTCATTGACTCTTGGTTTACTAAGTACCAAATAAAAATCATTAGCTGCTTCTCTGGGGAAACCTGCTGTCTGCCACCGGCATGTTCTGATATAAGTAAATATCCAATTCGCTCTAAAATATAATTAAATACGGCTGATTCGAAAGTGAAAAGAAAAATCACATGAGTACTCCGGTACGATTACTTCTGCGAAATCCCG